GCTGTTCCTGGGTAGTCAGCAGGAAGGCTCCTGCTCAGCCGCTTTACAGGATTAGCAGAGCAGATGTTTTTATTTCAAGCACCCAAAGCCAGTACTAGCAAAAGTGTTAAAATACTTTGTCAGTGTCTTGAGCATTTCTGCAAAATAATTTATGAAAGTTTTTTTTTCAATAATGAATTTAACTTTCTTTTGATATTTAATTTTTGAATATATTTTTTCACAAAACTGGATTTGCTGTAGTTAATGATCATGATCCTGATTTCTTTTGTAATTGTAAATTTTATAATTTGTAAGAAATTAGAATGTCCTTCAGAAGAAATTTACAATAAAATTTGGTTAAAAATAGACATAGTTACCTTGACTTGTGGTTTTTGTTTTTTTTTTTTTAAGAGTAACTTGATGTCTAGATAGCTGATTTTGGTCTGTAACACACAGTTTGCACAGCTGCAACCCTCAATGCCTCTTTTACAGTTAAAATTTTACTAAATTTCTGATTATTTTTATTTGTCACACACCAGAGCTCTAAGCATAGACCTGAATGAAGCAGATCTGCACAGCAGCCAGCAAAGATCTGTTATAGAAACATAGAAGGGGGCTGTTGTAACCTGCTGCATTTTCTGTTCACCTGTACTGAAGCATGCGCTGCTACATTTTACCATTAATCCCTCGTTTTATGAGCAAAGAGGCAAAAATCAGACTATGGCTAGAGCCATGAAATACCTAACAGCCACTGGATCCTGTGGCATGAGTCAGGACAGATTTCTGCAGCAGCAGAAATCCTCTTCCGGAGGAATGGGAGACAGCAATCTCCAGCAGAAGGGAGAAAGGTAGAGTGGATGCACGTCTCAGTCTTTACCACAATAGCTGAGCCGCAGGACAAGCTGGGAGCCCCTTCCCAGCAGGAGAGCTGTCACATGGACGGAGCTTAGTGCGAGCAGCCTGTTGAATTGGAGCAGCAGACGGAAAGGAGATTAGAATGTGGAAATAAATGACTTGAATGTAATTCAAATGGCTGCACTGATTGCTGGGAACTGTAGATGTCCATGTGCCATGAAATAAAAGCCTACACCCAGAGACTAGCATACCTCGCAGAAATAAAGCCAGCTCCACAGTCAATGCACATCCACTCTGCTGCCACATACGGCAAGATGTCTGCATCACGGGGCGTAACAGTCACTTTGGCACCGAGATAACTGCTGCACTAAAACAGCCAGGTAAGCCTGAAACCAGAGACAGTTCATCAAAATGCACGCTAGAGTGTAATGGGCCAAGACTAACAATGGGTTCCATTTACAAAAGACAGCGGACAATTCAGTTTATGGCCCCAGAAACATAATTCCCAAGCCTTCTGGAAAAATGTACAAGGTTTCTGGCAATAACCTAAGCAAACTTGCCATAGGAAATTTATACATCACTCAAAGTGATGTATAAATTGATGTATAAAAGTGAGCTCTACCTATAGTCATATGCCCTTGCTCCATCTTTATGCTTCCAGTAAAAGAACGGTGAGATTATATAGAGCCCGTAGTCTGTGAAAGTTTGTAACTCTCGTCAAGCAATTAATTTTACAGTGCTACAAAAAGAATCACAAGCTCACTTTTGTTTTATGATGCCATTCCACAGAACCACTTGAAAATACGGGTACAGGATTGTCACAGACCTGTGCTCCGTTGCAGTGGAACCCGGCAGTTCCCATCATTGCCAGACATTTGTCTCAAGACATCGCCACGACCTATTGCCGTTCCCGAAGGACAGCGGGGGACTGCAGCAGCTCTTGTCTTCACTGGTTCACTTTTTAAAATACCTAAAGCTGTTAACCTCCAACAGTTAGAAGCAAAGTAAAA